GGGGGGGGGGCAATTCAACTACCCCGTACTGGCTACCTACCCAACTTGGGAACATAGGATTTTTCTGCGCAGGCGATAACTTAATTGGTAAAGAAACAAAAACTAGGCAGATAGTGGGAAATAAAATGTAGTAGACCTTTTGTAGCTGAAGAGGTCCTTCATCCATGCCATGCCCTCGAGCAGCCTGCTCTCAAATAAGTCGTATAGCCTAGCCTCGGCGGCCCAGTAGCTTTTTATAGCAAAACCCAGAACCCGAGGCTGGGGCCTGTTGCCCGCGTTCACTAGATAGCACAGCAGAGCGCGACGCTGTAAGGCTGTAGTGTTGAATCCTCGTTCCGGTATGAGGACGTCAACACAGGACCAAACCACCCGTTGCGCACCCGCCCGTTGAGGTCTTATCGCTCATCCGAAAATACCCATACTCTGCCTATATATGCCCAATCATCAAACCGTCATAACATGTCGTTCAACAACATCCGTCGTCCATCGTATATCCAATCCGTAACATCTGTGGTCATGACACATTTGGCTCATCATACATCGACACAATATTGCCACAACAGTAACAACAACAACTGCAACAGGTCTGTAAAAGAGGCGGCATGTCTGGCCACGAGGGCAGGAGGATATGCCTTAATCCAGCTCTTTGAAATCTGCCCTGCATACGCAGAGCCAATAGATAAACCATAAGTGGACCCGCTGAGAGTCCGAGGCCAGCAACAGGTACAGTCTCAGAAAATTCAAGGGTCATGACCGAGCATAAGGCCTGTTCATTGCAGCAATCTCTCTTGCGACGGTTGCCCACTCGAGTTCCCTCTTGACAATTACCCCGCGTTTCTCCTGCTGGATTTCGTCCCATTTCATCAATTCGTAGACGAAGCGCAGGTGCGGCTGGATGATGACGTTGAGGCGGCGAGCGCGAACAAAGCAGCTACATCGGCTATGAGTATCACGACACCGAGTGCGAGTGACAAAAAGGGGACTTACTATGCGCGGGGAAAACTCAGCCCTTGACTTGCCATGACTTCGGCAATGCAAATGGTTGCGGAGCGAGAGACGCCAACACGGCAATGGACGAATGTCGCGGTGCCGTCCTGCTTCCCTTGTTCTGGAGGGTGCATCAGCCACCGGCATTCTGTAATTTGATTTTTGTTGTTGCTGCCGACGTGGAGACTCACCTATAAACCCAAGACACCTTTCCATCTCTAACGTCAATTCGTCGATCCCATTATCCTGCACGCGATCTACCATCATCAGATTTTCTCGTCCCCAGTCGTTTACTTCTTGTTCTGTCCACGAGACTGGCTCCCCGACACTCAATATCCGCCGAATGCCCAATAACCTGAGCATCTGGGGGTTGTTCGCGTGGGTCAGATTGCCTAGGTACATGTATGGGAGAATGCGACTCGGCAAGCTACCGTCAAGTTTAGCCAACCATGCTGGGGGTTCTATGGAGGCCATCTTTGAGGAATCGAATTTCGGAGATTCGCCCAGAATGCGACCTTGGATGGCGTTCAATAGAGCCACGTCGGAAGGGTAAGCGAAGAAATTGCGCTGCTTTTCAACGTGCAAGCGAATCCACGCCTCATGTAAGGGAACTCCTTCAGCGTACATGAAATACGCCACGGCTAGCATTGAGGTTTCGGTATATCCATCTGCACAGTGCAGAAGGACTCGCCGGGGCCTCAGTGCAAATTCACTCATCTGGATGTCGCCGTCTTCATCTTGGCACTTGGTGACAGGTTTCATGGCATGGGTGAGGTTATATAGCCATCGACACATACGTAGGATGCCGTCAGCTTCAACTTGTGACCATGATGGCGGCAGAATACTTCCCGAGCTGGGGAAAGCGAGGTGTACAGGGTCATCATCCTCGTCGCGATCTTCGAGCTGTTTCAATTTTGCGGCTAGAAGTTTGTCGTCAGGCAGCGTTGCGTGATCGCTAGCTTCCACATATAGGTCGTAGCTCGGGTCATCGAGGCTGGATGGCGGGTTGGTGTACGGTCCTGGTGATGGGCCTTGAAAGACGGCGTGCGAGATTTCCGAAGCCTTGGACATGGCGCACATTTCTCGCCTTTCTTGTTGGAGGAAGTCGAGTGTATGGTCCTGGTATTTGCCTTGGGAGTCAATAGCCACCAATTCCGGATACAATTGCTCAAAGTCTTCAAAGGACTGCGTCAGCACAAAGGTGTTGAAAGTCTCAGGATATTGGCCGATGGTTTCCAATTCCTTTCGCCACTTCTTCTGCACGGATGCTGTTCTCTCAGCCACGGACTTGATGATACGGTGGTCTGTGTCTTCATCGCCGTAAACGATGATGTCGGACACCAGTGCCATTTTGACCGCTTGAATATGGAAATTGCGGACGGAGAACCCTTCTCGAGGATCACAGTCGACGAAGCCCCTGCCATTGCTCTCTGACAAGTTGAGGACTTCATCTGGAGCAATGGCGCCTTTGATCCTCGAGCGACTTAGGTCACCGCCAGCCTTTATTATAGTTATCCCGCGCAGACATTTTGGTATTCTTCGCAGCGACTTCTTCCGAGCGACAAAGAAAGCCAACTGGATATGGTTCTCTGGATGGAGGCCGTGGAGCCATGGAAAGACTGACGACGGATGAGGAAGGGGTTGACAAGAATAGTGTTCGAGAGCCTCGGCTACCTGTCTCGCAGAGATGCCATATATCGGAGGAGAACTGCACAACTTCTGGTAGTTGCTTGCGGGGTGTAGGAGCGAGGTGGGTTTGGGGGCGACGTTTCGTAGTGGTGGAGAGTTGGGTGGAGTGATATGCGACTGTGAGGGAACCGGTCCTGGCGGACAGTAAGGCAGGTGTTTGTTGGGGATGGGTGTCGAGGATCGGGCCTGGCTCAGTGAAATGGTCGGGCCGAGGGGTGGAGGAGTCGACTGTCGAACTTGGGGTTGTTGTTGGACCACAACTGTGGCCATCTTGTTGCAACTGACTGCGAGACGAAGTGAAATATACTCGGTCTTTGATCCTGAGTCGGGAACTCCTCCCAGGCTCGTCCTGCGCCCCCAGGAGTCCTAGCCGGTCCTGCTCAAGGGCAGGTATCGAGGAGAGGACACGGCCGAACACGTGCTGTCCGAATAGTTCCTGCCAATCAGCCACGGCCGGGAGATTAGGTATATGCTGAGACGGGAACGAGGTGATTGTTCGTCGTTGTGCACTCTCACGACGTTATCTGCAGTGCGGTAGAGTATGTACTCGGTAGTATGGGAAGAGGTTGGGTTGGGGTAAATAGAGGAGTGGATATAGTTCGGTACAAGCGTCACGGAACACGTCGTGATGGATCTAGAGAGACGAAGGGCAGACAGATGTCCAATCTGGACTCAGACGTCTGGTCTCGCGACAAGAACGAGCAAAGGAAGTAATCAGAAGGAAGTAGTTGTGTGTCGAGGTCAAGTTGTGGAATACACGGCGGGCGGGAAAGTCTGGAGAAGGAAGAGGGAGGAGACACCAGAGATCCACAGTGGACGAGGTGATTCCTGAGGACAGACACCAGAGTGGCAGGGAGGGGGAGGAATCGAGGGATGGTGGGGCAGCAATAGTTAAAGAGCCACCAAAAGACGCCCCAGCATGCCGCCCTGCGCGCTATCAGCCCATCACTCAGTAAAATGTTCGGGGGGAGGCCAGAGCTTGCCGGGGCTAGGCAGCCTGTTCCGTGCCAATGGTCCCCTCGCGATGCTTAGGAACGCGAGGGGAGCAGCGAGGGCGGTTCGGGGGTGGTGGGGACCCGGGGACGTAACTGGTGGGAACGCCCAGAAATGGCGTCTAGGGACTAGTAGCCTGTTGGTGGCTGCTGTTTACGGCCGCCGGGGGCATGCAGAGCTATGCACATCGCGAGGGAGGCCAGCGAGGCTAGTCCAAGCTAGTGCCCCCAAGAGTCAAGACCACCGCAGCCACGCATTAGCCGAACCCATCGAGCTTGTGAGCACCAGACACCACTCTCTCCCTTTGCCGTTATGATAACAGAACAAAAAGGCACACAGCTTCAGCAATATGCGCCATGCAAACCCTGAGTAATCCTCGCGCCAAACATGTGCCAGCCAAGCCAGCAATGGCATGTGAGCAGCCGGCGCACCCAGGGTCAGAGTTGGTGTCGGCATGAAGCGCAGTCGAGACGCTGCAGCAGAGCCATCGCCATTGGCACACACTCCTAGATCCCCCTCCTCTAGCATCAGATCCCTGCTCCAAGTCCAACTCGACGACTGGTCGATCCAGCATATGTTTTTGCCGAGGTGAGAGGCCGGCGAGGGGCTTCGGCCATGGTGTGTAAGAGAGGGAAACCACCAGTGTCAGTGGTCACCAAGTGTCGAGTCTGGGGAAGTCCAACGGGGTCTCCATTGAGGTCCCGCATCTGTCATCCGGTATCCGATAATATTATCAATTATCTGACACTGTCCACCTGAAGAGGGAGACAGCCACCAGTGTAATACTGCCCGAGCAAAGGACACGAAACTCTTCATCGAGGCGCCTACACAGGGCAAGACGGACAATGGACGAGGGCTGATCATGCTGCTGCTGCTGCTGCTGCTGCTGCTCCAGAACGTCGATCACTTCTACGCCCATCTTTGGCTTTCCTCTCGCACCCTGATGATCCTCCTCCGTATCGACTCTGAAGCTCTGTGATCTTCGATCGTATAAGCGATCGCCCCCATCCTTCCCATGACCCTGGTCTTCTAGTCCTCCATTCCCTTCCGCATCGAATTTATCAGCCATTCGATCCTGCAGCATCAATTGCGCCAGTCAATTTGCCACGAAGTGGTGGTGGCATTAACATGGCTTCTGTGGTCCTTCTTCGAGTCGGACCGGGCTTCTCAAGGGCTAGAGTAAACCCAGTGAAAGCGGGCGCAGTCTTGCCTTCCGACGAGAATGTGCAGAAAACGTCTTGCAGACATCTCTGCAGTCTTTGGAAAATAAAACACTCATGTGGCTGCCAGACAGAATAGTGACTCGACAGTATTACCCTCTTGGTCAGCGTGATAACTCGCACACCCTCCAACCGACATTGCGAATTCTTCGGCGAATTGTGACGCGAGCATCCAAGCATCTCCCCATTCCCTCTTTTCACCGTCAAAAGACGCCAATGGAAAATCGCGCGCAGTTGAAAAGTCGTCACCTTGCTGTTCGACCGTGGCCTCCAAAAGAGGAGTGATAAGCGAGTTCCCATACAGTTTTTGCTCTTGACGCATCAGTCGAGCGATCTCGTCATCCGCCGTCAGCGCTTTATCACCAGCCAAATTGATCTTTGGGACTCCATTATCAGATGTCTGGTCTTCTTTCTCCGCGACGTATTCTTCAGGGAATTGAGGTAGCTCGCTGTGTATCGTGACCGCCGATAATCCTTCCCTGTCCATAAAGCTCGGGTACAGCACGTAATAGCCACGCGCTTGCATCATCTCAAGCATGGGCAACAACCATGCGGGATATTCGTGTGACAGTATAGGTGCGGACTTTGTCTTGGACGTGAGCTCTGGGTCAAGGAGGAGTCGGTAAGACAGGAATGTGTGGAATTCTACCCATCGATCTCCGAAATAGAGCACCGCAGTCGATGCGGGCACTTGCCAAAGAGTGAAAGGTTTCGAAGATTGCTCTCCGGACGGCGCTTTCGTTTTCAAGTCTGGCCCGTATCGAGGTAGATCCAGCGAGATACCGGCCAAGTGCGGGACCATACCTGTGGCCTGCGATGAGTACCCATACTCAAGTAAAGTGTACATTAAAAACTGGAAGTAGTTTGACGAGAGCTCGGCATTGGACGATAGCAACAGAAGATGAGATGTGCTCGCCGCAACAGGGTAGAAGGATTCGACCGTGCGCAGGGATGCCTGCACAGGGGTCATGAGCCTTCCATCCAGCCTGTGCCTGATGACAAGCCTGCTCTCGCTGCCGGCGCCATTGACAGGCCATCGAAAGTTAGACAAATATCGGGCGAGGAAGGGGTCAACATTGTTGGGGAGCTCAATCGTCAATCTGGGAAGCGTCCATCCCGCGTAGTCGGCGTCTTTGATTGATCGCAGAAGCCGCATAATTGAAGCTGAAGACTCTCGTTGCGCTTGGATTACGATGTCAATCTGGACTTTGTCGAATTGCGAGAGTGATGCAGCGTCCAAGGATGAAATCCAAGACAGACTCTGCAGGCTGCCAGGAGGAAGGGTTATCAGAGAAACACCAAGTGACGATGTCTTGTCCCTTAAAGCATTGACAAAAAAGTCATCCTCGATTTCTGTAGTCACCACCGTATGCAGTCGTATGGCAGAATGGATATGTCCCAAACTCGCACTGGCACTGACCTCCAACCGCGACGTAGATGACTGGGCCGCATGGTCCGGTCGAGCATCGTGCAAGTATATTTGACATCCCAGATCTTCAATCCCATTCGCCGCACGAATCTCTGGCCAGGCTGCGACATGGCGCCCCATGAATGCGAGATGAACTCGGGTTCGATTATGTTGTGCCATTGAGCACGCTAGAGGCAGTAACTGCAGCACACTTTTCAAGTCTGAAACAGCGAAGAGAACATTTCCTTTCAAATCTCGAGTCCGAACAGGCTCTTGCAAGGTCTTGGCCAGGTCGTAGAATTTGATGGGGCCTTCGTAACTCTGGTCGGAGCTTTGAAGGCCTTCTTGAGATTCGCTCCCAGACGGGCCGCGTGACCCTGGGTGTAGTCGACCGTAGCGATGATCATATCGTTCGGAAATAGGAGGGAGGTCTGTTGGCATGTGCTTGAAGAAGAGGTATAGTAACCATGCTGCGAGCAGGACCAGGATTATGCGCCTGCGTCGAAATGACTTCCACCGACCGACGAGGAGGTTGTAGGTCTTGGAGCGACGAAGTGTGAAGGTGTCCGGGGGCTCATGACTTCTGCTTTCTGAGTGAAAACGGCTTCTGGCAGCCATTCAAGCCTAGCCGCGAAGCAGAATTGGTTCACATTGATGCCAACTTGTGTCTTTGGAGAGTAAATGCGTGACAGGCGAAGCCGAAATGCAAGGCGCTGGGGTAAGAATTCGTCTGACAGCGATAAATCAAGTCGGTGGCCCCTGCAGCCCCTGCGGTCTCGGCGGCAGACAGAAATTGGTTTCGTCAGACGGGATTATTTCCAAGCTCCAATGCAGCTCTTCCTGGTAATTGAACTTCGACTGCGATCAGCCCACTTTCATACAGAGCTACAAGTCGACTTTTCTCGTCCTTCGAGAACCAAGCTTTGGCAACAACGGGGGAGAAGCCTCAACCGAGGCAATGCGAGGCTTATGGACTCAGGCGTCTCGACCAAGACTGAGAAACTCTCACTGCTTCTCGTCAACCGACTCGCTCACGTCTGCGCTTGTTCGAAAGACCACCACCAGACCCCCAAGACGCCGGCCAGGCTTCGGTGATGCATTTACCGTCCTTTTGACCCCTGTCCTCGCGGCTGCCCTCTTCGTCGACACCAGCTGGAAATCGAAACAGCGAAAAGACTGGGATGAGAGGCTCGCGGCCCTCGACAATGAAATAGATTCACTAAAGGAGCGGGAACGGCAGCTCCGGAGCTCCCTTCAACTCCGTAACGTTGGGTCTGGACTATCTCAACAACGAAGATATTATGCCACGGCCGTGCAAGCGCAGGTCCAAGACGATGAGGTCCCCGGGGATATTGAGATGCCAATTTGGTCGGCAGACCCAGGCCAGGAAGACAACGTAATAGAGGATGAGAGGATACCGATACGGCAAGTGGTCTCTGCACGGGAGTTTTCAGCTGAACAATTATCAAACTTCAAACGCTACCATCGCCTGAACGCGATCACACTGGCTCTCAGAATGCTCCTGCATCTCCGCGTCGGACCCAATCATTTCTACTCGATTTTTCCGTCGGACGACCCAATGGACAGTGCGACCAGTGAGACCTCCGAGGATGTTGGGCTTCCCTCAGACACCAATCGCTTGGCTGAGATGCTCGCTCTCACAAGGAAGCAGATGCGTTCGCTAGGCAATCTAGAAGACCTCTTCTATGTGGCCCCTCGGATCCAAGCGCAAGCCGCCAGAGGTGGCCTTCAACAAGCCATAAAAGAGTTAACGGCCGAGTTTGATGCCGGGCGTATCTCACTGGCGGGGCTGATTGATGGATATGGAAAAGCGGTCCTTCAGACGGACGAAGTACCCTCTGTCTCCGTTTACGTTATGCTCATTCGATCTCTTTCGAAAGTCGGGAGCCACAGCTTAGCCTATCATGCCGTTGCCGCCTTGAAGAGGAGTACCCTACCACTCTCTGACCCTGCGATCTTCTACATGCTGTTGCAAATTGGTCGAGCCTGCGACTCTCGCTCCCTGAATCACATGCTGCACTTCATAGCAAAGGCAGACAATCCGCTCAACGTGATCCACAAGTGGGAAAAGGCACGCGTCAATGGACTGGACCTGCCCGTTCCGACCACACTGAACCCACGCCTTTTGATGGTCTTGGTTTATGCATCGCTGAGATGCGAGCAACCGACGCGGGCGGAAGCTTGGCTGACGCTTCTCCGCGAAGCGGACTACGGGAGCATGTGGAAGGATGATCTTTTCAGAAGTTTTCTTGCCTACTACTCTCAGCATGGGAACTGGGAAGAGGGCAAAAAATGGGTACAACGATCTGTCAAACACGCATTAACCATCGCCAATCAATCGATCGATCGGTTAGCGCGTGTGATATACCGCATGTTGGATCTGTGTGTGCGCTGCCGCAAACTTGCAGAGTATACAACAATCCTCGACGCTGCAGTTGATTCAGGTATTGGACCGCCGCTGGTCGATAAAACTCAGAATGACCGCAGGACATTTCACCCGCGGACTCGGAGCATCCTCCTAGAATGGGAATCGCTCCCACTTCCAGACAACGTTGAAGAGTTCGCGGTGCAGGAGAAGGCCAGGTCATTCCAATTAGCTTGCAGGTCTTTAATGGAGGAGCTTTCCGGAAGACCCCAAAAAGCCCCAAGCTCCCGAGATAATGTGGATAGCGAGTTGGTGCTAATGGCCCCCACGGCTCAACGCCCAAATCTTCGGTATACCGTGCGAAGACCGACGTCAGGCTCCCCGGCGGCAACTGATGGTGATCATTCCTCGGTTGAGCTAGACAAACTGCAAAGCAGATTTACCCAGCAGGAAGCCATTATCTCACAGCTGAAAACGAAATTGGACCTTGCAGAACTACGACAAAGGTCTTACCAAGAAGAACAAGCGCAAAGAGCACAACGATGGATCAAAAGCACTTCTGCTTTGGCAGAGGAGCTGCGAGACTCGAAAGAACGCTATGAAAAACTTCAGAAGCTGAATGAACTCTACGAGCAGGAGCGCGCAAACATGCGAGCAGAGATGTCAACTTTGAAAGCTGTTGCTGAACAATTGGTGCTGCAGGGACAGAAACAAAACATTGAAGTGCCAGCGGTAGAAAGAACCGAAGCACAGCTGCCTGAGATAGTGACAAAGGAGGAAGGGTCGACTTTGCCCGAGCAAAAACATGCACCAATTAAGGGAGAAAACTCACCATCAGAGACCAGAGCACCAACGAGACTAATCGGAATGCCCGACGATCGGAGAAATCGGTCCAAAATCGGTCCCATCCCTACGACTCCGCGAGAGATCAGGATTCGGACGTACTCGATGCGTTTCGACAAGGATATCAGACCGAGGACGTTCAAAAGGGTTCAGGTCAAGACACAACCGGCTCCAGACTCGGCTTCGGTGCCTTGACTTGAGAGCCTAAAGGCTGGCGGCTTTTTGCGTCGAGCCATTTCTCTATTATATAACGATAGCAACTCTGGATTTGTAGTGAGATGTTGGTTCAGGAGATGTTTTGTGCTGTGTGAGATCAACAGTGTTTCTGTCATGGCCAGCCGATCTCAGATCGCATGCGGAAGTGACCGACCACACGGCTATGGCGCAGATGAAGATGACTCGATGCCTTGTGCAAATCAGATTCTGACCCATGTCGTAATCGAACGGGCTATCTACAGTACCGGCCTCGTTGGTCCTCCCGTCTCTCAGCAACCCTCCGAAATAGTGACAATAGTGGCAATATTTGCATCATACGAAGCACTTATCCACGTAACATACCTCCCGACAAATCCATCTACCTACCTACTTCTGTATTGACCGGCCTATAGGCCTAAATTTCTAGAGAGTCTCGACGAGGCTCGTGCAAAAGTGCGAAGAGAGAGGGGGAAAAAAAACTTAGTATATCAAGATTAAACGAATCAGATAAGGCGAGAATAAGAATAAGGGCACAAGAAACGACTCCGCGAATACAGGCTACAGTAGGACTAGAAGCAGAAGCAGAAAGAGTACCGGAGAGTAGATGAGAGGAGGGAACATGAGAATAGTAAATATGATGTTCGTATTCGTAAATACCTAGAGGACACGCATTATGGGTTGTTCCTAGGATATGTTGGAATGGATAAAGGGTATGTATATTCTCCGTACGCTCTCCCTGAGCATGTGAAGATACAGACCTGGGTATATGATAACCGTAATTATTCTGCTCTGTTCTGGAGGAGTCATAAACCACCATCACCACCGTGTTAACGCTGCCGGATTTGAAGGGTTGAACCAGTGCTGACAGTGATATTGATATGGAGGTTTCGAGACATGCAATAAACTGCAAGTTGCAGCGTGGAACCCTGCTTTGGATTCATGCCGCGTCAAGGCTCAAAAGCAGTGACAATGGCGGTAAGAATATAATATGTAGGTAGCGACACTTTCAACCTGATCCCTCTCTCAGCATCGTCCTCCACGATTTGGAGACCAAGCGGAGAAGTACCGAGAGAGAACCGAGCAGCAGAAAACCCAGGTACAGCAACAACCATCCTTCAGTCGGAACTCCGTGCTATGAATGCACGCTAAAACAAAGAACCGGGAGCTCTCCGCGACTCCGCTCAGAGGCCGATTGTGAGGCCGTAGACTCCAAAACTCCAATGACCAAGTAGTCTGAAGATATCATCACTATGCAGATGAATCTGGTTCTGGAAATGATGACGGTTAGATTATTCGTGGCGGTGTCCGACTTGACACTCCTGAGAGACGCCGTTTCTCCACCTGTAGAAGCTCAAGAATGTAGTGATGACTCCGAGTTCCGTGGCAGACCACCGGTCGTCGGCAGGGTCGACACTGGTTTTCTTTTGCTTCAGCCTTGCAGGGCTATCGCATGAAAGCATCCTCTTGCTATTCACGTCATTCGATCGTCCACTAGGACTTTCAAGGCTTGTACTCCAATGCTGAGCAGCTCTGGTTCCTTCGTCTGCTTCAGAGTGGTTTTCAGTCTCTCCACGGCACCTTCTTTCTTGAACACCTCCTTTACCTTGGCTGCTAATGTCTTGTTCTCCGGGGCTGCTTCGTCACAACATAGCATATTCCTTACAACGACCAAGCCTCGGTGCACCACCCCCGGATCTTGATCGAGGCATAATTCTAGGAGAATTTCTGGCGCGCGTTTAAACTCGAGCATTGCAGAGATGATACTGGAGTATTGGTCCGTAAGCATTGCCAAGGCACCACCCGCAGCGCGCCTTGTGGGTAAATCTTCGACATCCGCCATCGCAACAAGTATATGCAGTCGCTGTGCCGCGCGCTTCGAACCGTCGTCGAATTTCTCTACCCCGGCCGGAAATACCGTCAAATTGCATATGAGTTCGCAAGCCGCCCGGCGGACGAGTTCATTGTTTCCCAGGAGGAAATCTTCGATATCGTCCCACGCTGACTTTATGATGAAAGATGCGGCATTAGAACTCGGAGCTGATGCGAGGTTGGTGAGGGCAAGGAGACTTTCGAAGACCGGAAGGAGATCTCGCGGTTGGTCGCTGAGACCCGCTCCACCCGGGGGCTTCAGCAACGCCACGAGAGGTGGGACAGCGTCGGTAATATCGGGTGTCGACCCTGCTGGGAAGACGTGCGCCGGATTCAAGGAGATCAGGATTCGCGCTAGAGCATGGGCGGCGTCGGGTGTGGCTTGGGTGTTGTTGTTTTCGGATGACTGTAGGTTTCTCTGTGCATGAGAGACTAAAAGCTTGACGGCTCCCTGTTGCGCCATCTTCCCCCTATCCTTTGGATTCTTGGACAGCGACAAAAGGATTTTATCACTTAGCTGTGCTATAGCCGGGGATCTACCCTTGTTTAGTCTGATTATTGAGGCCACGATTCCAGCCTCAATAACTGCCGTGCATCGTGCGCGTACATGGTCGTCATTCTCCAAAGGATTCGGTTCGGCAGGTTTCGCAGCATTGGCGTATGCTTTCAACTGCGACATCTTCTTCTGCTCCTCGGACAAATTGGGCGCATATTGTGTGAGATTCGAGATGATGCTTAATCCGCCCACCACGACCTCCGGGGCAGTATGATTCTCGTTGAGGACATCCAGGAGAGACTTGAGGAACTTGCGATCATTGGCAAGCGATTCCTTGACCTCGGCCTTCAAAGATGTATACGCAAGGCCTTCAATCGAGTCAGAAACATTCTTTCCTTCTTCAACAAGAGTGAGGGATTTCTTGAAAAGATCAACGAGCTCACTAACATCATCATCCGCCTTGTTGGCTCTCTGGTCTCCAGCAATCTGGACACCCGACGTTCTCAGTTTGGCCAACACGGTGGCCGCCACCGACGGCTGCTTGCCGGTCCCGTTGCTCACTTTGTCCGCTAACCAGGTGGCACAAAACTGTGCGATGGCTGTCCGACAGGCGCCGTCGATGCAAGCAGCATTGAGCAAAAAGAGGAAGGCATCATGGACGAGGGGGCTGCTGAACTTTCGGTCGAGGAGCGGCATGATCGAGGGGAGAAACCCATCCACCAAAAAGAGCGGGGCCACGACGGTGGGAATGACCGGAAAGAGACTGGCGCCGGCGGAAAAGGCCAGGACAAGGTCGTCGCCCTTCTTGCGTTGGACGTGGTTCGTGATGTACTTGGAGAGGTATCCTTGACCGGTAGGCTCCGCCACTTCGAAGAACTTGGACAGGACGAGGGTTGCCTGGCCTCGGACATCCGGGGGGAGCCGCAAATCTAGGGAGCCCATGAGGGCTTCGAATGCATCCTCATCGATGAAGGTATGGAGGCGCTGTGTATCGGCAATCAATAGTAGGGCAATGCCTTTGAGAGCTCGGCCATCATGGTCATGACCCGTTTCCATCAACTTGGCAAGGAAGAGCTGAAAGAGATCATCTTCCACTCGAAGTCGGACGTCCTCGGTCGGCCATAATGAGTCGTCGAGCACGACAGAGCGAAGACAATTGGCGGCGTCATCCCCTCTCTCGTAGACATTGTCAAAGAATGAGGTTGTCGAAGCCTCCAGCTCAGCTGCCAGATACTTTCGAACGGCGGGACTCCGTTTGGCGAGTTCGGCGATGATGAAATCCTGGGCATCGGACATGGTGGACTGGCGGCACTCGAGGATGATTTGCAGGCATTCGAGAGCGACCGGAGCAGCATTTGACGCCTCGGAGCTCTTCAGGTAGTTGATAGCTTCATCGCCGGCGGCGTTGTCATGATAGAGCGCATACCTCCTGACCAGATCCAAGAGGGGCGAATTGAGTTGATCATCATGGTGGATGGCAAAAAAGGCGGCCTGGACATCCGGGTTGGCATGACCCAATGCAGCAGCTTCCCTCAGCTTTCTCGACGCTTGCTGGAGGAAAGCTTGTTAGCGATCTCTCCCTCGACGAGAGTGCGAAAGGTTTAGTCAGCGAGAACACGTACGACTTTGTGACCAGCATTGGAAAGTTCGACCGCCTCCTTGGCCAACTGGGAGGCGCGTTCAGCATCGCGTTCTTCGGATAATTTTCGGTTCATACGCTGGACGGTCGACATGGAAGACATTGAACCAATAGTGCCGGGCCCAGCAGGCACAGTGGGATGGGAGGGTGGAATGATGCGCCTAGGGCGAAGAGAGGGAGAAAGAGAGAGGATCAAGAACTCAGAGGGCTGAAGAGACTAAGTTCTTGAAGGGAAGAGTGACGTGAGATTAGGCGGTGGCGGAGGAGGAGGACATGATTTTATACTCCGTACTCTGGCGCAGGTGTGAAGAGCGAGTAGAGGATGTAGACGGCAACGGGAGACGGGCGGCAGGCGGAAGGATGGGCGGGTTTTGTGCTCTGTGAGCGAGGCGGCGAAGAAGCGAGGAGGAGGAGAGGAAGAAGAAAATTTGAGAGACGAGCTGGTCGAATCGGCGAATGGGTCAGCTGATGAAGATGGTACTCGTGTCGCGTACGATGACTTGGTAGTGGTGAGGGCTGAGCTGTCGCGGACGTATGTAATATGTCGAGATGCCAAAGTGAAGCAACCGCGTAAGGCTGGTGTTGTGAGTTGTGCGCGGGAGATAGCAAATGGCTCGAGGATGCACAGATTATTGGGTGGGATGTTGGCGGAACAGCGAATGGAATTTGCTTCTGGGTGCCTCAAGGAGGATGAGCGAGGTGGGAAGCACCAAAGAGGGCCACGTGGGATGCAGAAAAAAAAAATTGGTGAAGTGAAGGAAAAAGTTTTTCCTGCTTCTAGGCCGATAGCAGCGAGGATTGCGAGAGGAGGAGAGGTACAAGATACATGTGATAGTATGTATGGAGGTGTTGACAGCGGCACAGAGAATAAGAATATTAACGGGTACTTGTAGAAGCCGAATGCGGATAATAATATTCATCATGATGAGTCAAAAAGGGCCGAGCACGGAGAAACCTCCCCAAGTAAAAATGGCAACGCGAAGCCAGACGGAGATTAAAGCAAGTTCACATGTCACCGCAGGTCGGTCACCAGCGAGATCAGCAAGGGAGAGCGGAGGAAAAGGGCCTGGATCCAGCAGCTCTCGCACGTTGGGGGACGGTTGGAACTTGGACTGTCCACCACCACGCGCGGCATCGGGGGCTCCCTATCTACGCCTTAATCCCCTGTGGCCCTCTTTCAGGTGGGTGCCTAGCCACGAGCGCCCCTCGCCTAACCGCCTAACCGCCTAACGTTACGCCTATCTCTTCTTCTTCCAAGGCGCCCTGTTGCCTGTGCTTGTGCTTGTGCTGGTGGTTGTGCTGGTGCTGGTGCTGGTGCTGCTGCTTCACCCCCTTCCACTTCCATCTCACCCACTCATCAGACTCGGCAGCTCGTCATTCCTTCTACAACACCTCACATCTCACATCTCACATTTCACAATCTCTCACATCCCACAAATCTCCCACCGCCTGATTTCTAATACCCTCCCGCCCTCCGTCCTCACCATCATGAATGCGGTTGATGCATCCGAGCACTTTGACAAACCATCCCACTGTAAGTGCCAGACTAGTCCTCATCTCGCAATCTTTTACCCGCCACTCCGCTGGACTCGGATGACAAGAAATTGCAAATCCCGCTCCAATCACTAGTGACCCGCACATGAACTCACAAGGCTCCGAGTCCTCGTCCATACGCGATACTCACAAGGCTGCCAGCAACAGAACAGTCCCCTTCGCTCCTCGCCCTCATCCTCGACACCAACCCGGCAGCATGGTCGTTGCTCTCGGAAACCCTCCCTCTCTCCAGCGCCGTCGCCAATCTCCTCGTCTTCATCAACGCCCACCTAGCCGCAAACTACACCAACAAAGTCGCCGTCATCGCCTCCCATTGTGACAAAGCCGCGTGGCTCTACCCAACTCCAACCGAACAGAAACTTCCGCGCTCCATCTCAGCCCGGGCAAAGCGACAACCTCACGGTCAAGCTCGACACCATGACAACCTCTCCGACTCGGCCAAAAGGCTGAAACTCAATAGTCCGGCGGCGGAGGATCCTCCTCCTCCCAGCCCGAATCCCAGGTCATCTTCTTCATCCTCAGCCAACACTGGCAGCAAATACCGCCCCTTCCGCCTCGTCGAGGAAGAGCTCCTCCGCAACCTGACTCTGCTTCTTTCCACCACCTCTCCAGATGCCGTCTCCAGCAGTTCATCAACCATGATCGCCGGCGCCCTGACCCTGGCTCTCTCTTATATCAACCGGGAGTCCATCCTGCTCTCTGAGTCTTTAGTCGGATCGTCAAACACCCACAGCGCCAATGCCAGAGATCCCGTCACCACCTCCTCTGCTGCCAGAGATGGAGCAAGTCAGTCTCTTCAATCACGCATTCTCCTCGTCTCGGCATCCCCCTCCACCGACCTAGCTCACCAATATATCCCCATCATGAACGCCATATTCGCGTGCCAGAGACTCTCAATCCCCATAGATATACTACAACTTCCTCTCTCCACCACCGACCCATCATTAACGTCCGCGTCAAACCCAAGCGCGAACTCCCACTCCCGCTCCCACTCGCACTCAGAGTCGACCGTCTTCCTCCAACAAGCCGCCGACGCCACCCACGGTATCTTCATCCCCGCCCACCTCACCTCGCCCAACTCGCCCAACCCCGTCAAGACAGCATCCCAGTCCCTCCTGGCCTACCTCCTGACCAGCTTCCTCTCCAGTCCACTGACCCGTTCCGCGCACTTGATCCTCCCCACCCGCATCGACGTCGACTTCCGCGCCGCCTGCTTCTGCCACCGCAACGTCGTCTCCGTCGGCTTTGTCTGCTCCATCTGTCTGAGCATCTTCTGTGAGCCGCCCGAGAACGGAGACTGCCTGACCTGCGGAACCCATCTGGCCGTAGATGAGGGAAGCTATGGAAAGACCCCTGTCGTGGTGGCCTCCGCCAAGTCGAAAAAGAAGAAGCCGCAGCAAGCGACCCCAAGGTAATTGAACTGGCATACAGGAGGTATGCATAGATGTATCCTGGCCCATTTCAAAGGCATTTCGTCGGCAATGTGCAGCCACAAAAGTGCTGGACGACGACAAGTACACTCGACGGAAATGGATGCATCTCAAGCGCATTGTTTGTCTAGAGTTGGTTTTGAATTTCTCGTCTACCAATAGGTGACTTGTAGGATATCTTGAAGTCTCAAAGACTCAAGCAAAGAAGACGCTATGAATATGACCCCCTTGCTCCAGGTCTGTCGCATGCGTCTGGCCTTGCTTCCAGTTCTGCGACTCGCCACCATGCTCTCTTGCAACATCCTCACCTCCACCCTACCCAGCCACTCCCCCCTAGTACCCGTGTCGAATGATGAGCTTTCAAAAAGCCCAAGGCCCGCGAATGTGGGGGCATTCTCGTCCATGGACCAGAACACCTCTAACTGCATCTTAGGTTCTTCTGGGAGATAAGATCAACTGACCTTTCACCGCGTCCGGCTGTGTCTTGATTTGGAGACCCTTCCTCCTTGCGCGATCGAGCCGTGACCTCGGCTTCGTGACATGGTGCATACCGGCTTCTTTTCCTCCGAATGCATCGAGGCGAGGGCGAACGAGTCCGTATTGTGCCCAAAATAAAAGTAGATCCCGTCGCGGCATTTTTTGACAGCCAGAATACCAATGGCGCCAACACAATGGCTGTTACTCACAGCAGGATGTGTCATAAAGTCATTCTTGATGACCGAGTGCATGGCTTCGTCTTCATTGCACGACTCGAGCTTTCCTCGCTCTTTGCGAACCGAGCTGTAGATCCGATCAGCAGCCGTGGCTGCGGCCGTTGTCGTGGCCATATGCTCCCCCGTCCCACTGGTGACTGTGGCTACGCAAGTTTGGGTGGGATCTCGTGGATCAGCAGGAATCACCGCAGTGCCGATTCCAACAAGAGCAGCTGGGCCACATCGCCCCTTGTGTTTCATCCCGATGCCCCCAGAAGATGACCCGGCGGCTATCCGCCCAAAGCAATCGACTGCAATCGCGCCGACTGTGTCACTTATGTCATCTTCCCGGCGGTCGCCAACGTGAGCGAGTTGTGGCGTAGTCGGCACCGATCTATGCTGGATGGCAAGATTGGACTCCTCACCGGACAGACCGTCCATAGAATCACTTAGCTTCTGCCGTTTGGGGGCCGACATTAACCATTGGAGGCTATCGTCGGTGGCAGACTCAAGGTGATCATAAGATGCGTGTCCGTCTGGCAAGTTGTTTTGGCTGTTAGACTGAGAAGCGGGGACAGAAGAATGACATTCCGAGTTCCTGTCTTCCCCTGGATGGGATAACGTAGGCACATCGGCCGTTGAGGCTATCAATGGACGGACCATAGGAGGCAATTGTGACAGACTGACGTGATTTTCAGGGGTGGAAGGAGTCACCACAGGGCTAATGGGAGTTGCGGTTGGTGTTGGAACATGGGCCCAGTCATCCTGTGATTCATTCGATGGCGATGGCTGCGTCTGATCATGCTTCTTTGCCTCCTTTAGGGCCACATCTGCAAGATCATCCCGCCACTTTGTCCATCGCTCACGGGCATTTGCCGAGACCAAAAAATCCGGAGGGAGAATGGGAATACCTTTGTCGGCAGCATAGTCGGTTGCACCAGCGCCGACCAGCAGGTTTGGAGGGACGCGTTGGAGTGACAGAGGTTTTGTGGATTCTTCAAGAACAAGACGAGCGACAGCGATTGGGTTTTTGACTTGGGAGATTGCACCGACTGCACCACTGCGGCCAAGGTGATCGACGAGTGTGGCATCACACTCAACCAGCCCATCTATAGTCAAGTTGCTCCCATAGCCGGCATTGGTGATCTCCTTGTCCTCCAGCAGTCGGATGGCCATCTCCACAGCGTCGGTGGCGTCACCTCCATTCTTCAAGACGGCCATTCCAACCTTGGCGGCATCGTTGACAGCGGTGAGGTGATTTTTCTCATTTTGTAGACTGTGGAAGCCGGCACCAGCGTGGATGAAAATGGCACAAAGGTCCCCGCCTTCTTGTGGACGACGAGGCATTGACGAGGTCAGGCGATCAGATGGGAGTGAAACTCGATCGACATCAGAGAAGGTGTGCGAGTGCGTTGAAGGGGGTTCAAATCCAGAGAAGGTCGAAAGCAGTGCTCACGTGAGAACAGACTCAAGTTACAGACTGTGAAAACGGCACGGGTTGTAAGGCAAGGCAGAGACAAGGAGGACTGTATGAAAAGAGCGGGAGGGATTAAATCCTACTGTTGAAAAGGCTGTTGGCAGAAGAGAAAGTTGCAGCAGAAAAGATGGACTTGACGATGCCAGCCTGAATGGGTGAAGGAATGAATGTGTATGTGAATGAGTTGAAGATGGAAAGATGAAAAAACACGTCAATCAAGTCTGTAGCAGCTGGAGTTTGGCAACGCTGCTTGGCATTTCTGGAAGCCGCAACCTCAGGTCCGAGTGCTACGACTTCCCAGAATGGTATCTTGATATGGACAGTGGCTCTTACTCTGCCAAAGTTCCAGCGTTGCGGCATGCAAAGCTGTGTGGGAATCAGGATATGGTGAGAGGAAACTGAGGTCGATTAGGTCGGGAGATGGGCAGCAACCACCAACTGCCACCACAGCCGCTTTGGGTGGAGTCACGTGCACAGACTCAGTCACGTGGATGACATAATCCGCCGCCCACTTTGCCCGGCGCTGGCGACGGCCATTGCCAGCCCACAGCAGCCCACCAACTGCCAGCTGTTTCGTCTCACTACTGTCCCTCAATCCAGTGTTTGCGTCTTCTTCTGCCCACAATTGAAAGCTGCCTGCATACTCCAGTGGATGGAAATAAGGTGCTTGGGCCCCTGTACCTGTGATCTCCCTCTCTCGATCCTCGCCGGCAATGATCCTTCCAACAGGCATCGAGTCATCCTAGCGACGTCCTGATCTCTGCCCATCGCCCGCCGTCGCATCGTCGCCGGTCCTCAGGTAGTCCGCGACCAGCCATTCATCATGGCCTCCCAAACCCCCGCCGTTGTCATGGACAAGTATGTGCTCCTCCCCCAATGTACGAAACCCGGTGCTGACAGTCAACAAGCGGAACCGGCTTCTCGAAACTTGGTACGGCCATGGTGCATCGAAAATTGTTGCAACTTCTGACCTGCCCAACTTAGGCTTCGCCGGAAATGATGCCCCTTCGTTCGTTTTCCCCACGGCCATTGCCATGAAAAGTGCTGGTGGCGGCGCAGCAGGAACAGGCTCGGGAAGACCAGCTGTTGCAAACAAACCTTCATATCTCACTGGTGGTGCCGGACCCAGTTCCAATTTGGCCGGCAAGCGGGGTACAGAAGATCTCGACTTTTTCATCGGGGATGAAGCACTTGCTGCGTCGGCTGGTCCTGGCTACAGCATAAACTATCCCATCAGACACGGTCAGATCGAGAACTGGGACTACATGGAACGTTTCTGGTCAAATTCCATCTTCAAATACTTGAGAGTTGAGCCGGAAGACCACTACTTTCTCCTGACAGAGCCCGTGGGTGTTGATGAACCGCTCTTGGTGGCCAAGCGTTGACTGGTTTGTAGCCTCTTAACCCGCCTGAAAACCGCGAGAATACCGCCGAGATCATGTTCGAGTCGTTCAACTGCGCGGGTCTCTACATTGCCGTACAAGCGGTTCTTGCTTTGGCCGCCTCGTGGACATCTTCGAAAGTGACCGATCGATCTCTGACTGGGACCGTCATCGATTCTGGAGATGGTGTCACCCATATCATCCCTGTCGCGGAAGGATACGTTATTGGTTCTTCGATTAAGAGCATACCGATTGCCGGGCGGGATATCACATATTTCGTGCAGAGCCTGCTGCGAGACAGAGGAGAGCCAGACAGCAGTCTAAAGACAGCCGAGAAAGTCAAGGAGGAATACTGTTACGTCTGCCCTGACATCGTCAAAGAGTTCGCACGGTACGACAAAGAGCCCGATCGATTTCTCAAACACACCGTTACCCAACCAAACGGCCGGTCCATCACCATTGACGTTGGATACGAGCGCTTCCTTGCTCCCGAGATCTTCTTCAATCCTGAAATCTATTCTTCCGATTTCCTCACTCCCCTGCCAACTGTGGTCGATGGAGTCATCCAGTCATCCCCGATAGACGTCCGAAGAGGCCTGTACAAGAACATTGTCCTGTCTGGCGGTTCGACCCTGTACAAGGATTTCGGCCGGAGATTGCAGCGAGATATCAGACACTTGGTGGATGCCCGCATCAGAGCATCCGAGGCCCGGAGCGGTGGAGCGAAGAGTGGTGGCTTGGAGGTTCAAGTTGTCACCCACAAGCGACAGAGACATGGACCTTGGTTTGGGGGCAGTCTCCTCGGGCAGACGCCTGAGTTCAGAAGTTACTGCCACACGAAGGCTGAGTACGACGAGATAGGCCCGAGCATCGTCAGGAGGTTTGCTTTGCTGGGAGGCCCCGGAAGTACGTAGATACGATGATCTGACGAGATAGAAAGTGACGATTCGAGAGAATCACGATTCCAAGTGCAAAAGCAACGCTGCGTGAGCATTTCAAGTACAAGAGCAAACCCCGTGAACATTCCAAGTGGATGAAGGTTCGGTAGTCGCAGTGAGTTGATGAGATAATCTCTTCCAATCGAGTCACCCGTCATCTTGGGGTCCCCAAGGTTGGTGTAATGGAACTCGCATCACCGCCAACTGCCAACTGGTTGACAGTCGTCTTTATTCATTTCTGACTAGGACCGAGGCCAGAAATGGGGCCCCCTACTCTTCCCGCATAGAGAAGCGCCTTCCAGTTAGCACCAGACTATTAACTGGCGCTTTTCCTCTTACAACGCACCGCACGAAGACGGACTCGCTTCGGGGGCTCTGGGGTCTCTCACCAGATGACATGGATGAGGATGGGAAGGCGAGATTGTAAGAGTACCATCCCTTGCCTCGAAAGATCGAATGGAAACACTTGATGGACGGATAGGGCCGTTACAGCCTATCACTCTCCCGGCGCTTTCGGCGTCCCGGACTTCTCGTCATCACCACCACCACCATCACCACCTCTACCACCACCACACATAGCCTTATGGCATCCATCAACGCCTCATCGGCTCCAATGCCAATCCATTTCATGATTCAAGACCCCGGTTCGCATCAAACTAGGCGGGAGAAAAGCCTCAAAATTGCACAAGCCCGAAGTCACGCCGCGAAATATGTCGGTCGACGTGCTCGCTGGGAGAGGCAGATGAGGTAGAGGGCATTTGGACCAAAAAGAAACCGTAGAGGGCCATCCTCGCTGACAAGTCACTGTAGTTGGCGCCGGGAGGCAGATCATGAACCACCTGGGCGAGAAGAGCAAGCGCGCCCCGCCGATGGTGGTGTGGACGATCAGCCAGGACCCTCAAAGGCGCTCATACACGATGCTTTAGCCCAGAGCAAAAGGGACCCATTCTCTCCTTACAATGCGTCAGAGTACCCGGAAGTCTTTCAAGACCTCATTGAGTTCAGTACGCAATTCAATCCTTTTGCTTTGATCTACCCGCCCTGGAAGAATGACCACGTGGCGATATGTCGAGCCCAGCTGACTAGAACTTTTGTTGTAAGCATATGACAAGCTATGGCCTGATCTGATTGAGGTCGATGGAAAGCCACCGGTCCATCCTGGAAGGCGGCTATGGCGCTTGGCTGCACAGGAATGCCCTGCCGTTCACCACGTCCATCTCGCAAGTGTGGCAGACTTTGGGAAAGCTATGTACCATCCCTACGCTTATAGTGCCATGTTCGACAGGTTGCGGTTGTTTCATCACACCCAGGCACTGCGATTGGTAAGGCAAGTTATACAGAACATGGACTCCGACGCAAGCCCGACTGATTCGCTTGTGATGGCCGTGTACAATCTGTCATACCAAGGAACAGACTGGGATAGGCGGGAGTTTCCCGCGAGCCACGCTCCCCCGCCAACGTTGAAGGGACGTTTCCTCGCCCGTTACGGTAGGAAAGTGCCCCATACTGAACACATCCGTGCCATGAACCTTCTCATTCAAGCCAAGGGCGGCTTAGAAGAGGTCAAACTCATTGGGATTGCCGAAATGATATGGCTGTACGTGGTTTCCCTAAGAGGAATCGTTCGCCCCGTACCTAACCGTGGGTGAAACATTAGATGGAGCCTGAACAACTGCACAACTCTAATACAACCGCCCAGTTTCCCACTTCTGAAAACATACGAGACACTTCTCATCGACTACACTAATACCGTCAACCTATCGGTTCGCACCGGCACCTTTGGGAGTCTAGGAAGTGGATTCCTAGTGCTCCCGACACATGACGACGTTGGCCAACTCCGAGAGCTTTTGCTTTGCGCAGCCGCCGTCACTGTCGAACTTTCCCAACTGGCGCCGGGCCACGAGAGTACGCGAGAGTGGCGTCAACTCCTGAAAGTCGCTAGAGCAACGCACCACCAGATCCTGAACGTGCCCCAAGACATTCCGATGTCAGTCGCCGGGAGCGAAGAAGAGAGGCTGATTTTCTCCATCTCGCGCCTCGGGGCGCTTCTCTACGACGACATGGTGATTTACCCTCAAAGGGACACCTCCGAAATCAAGCCTCGATTGGCCAATCTACTGCGGCGCACTCTGACTGAGAAGTTTCTCAAGTTCATCCCCGGGGGAGGCCGCGAGGAGTACCGACCACTAATCCTTTGGACGCTTGTGCTGGGATGCATCGGGGCGACGTTCACCGCAGATCGCCAGTGGTTCGTGGCGCAGCTTCATGAACGGTCTACGCAGCTTGGGTTAGGGAAGTTCTCCGACTTCAAGTCCACGATGTCAAATTATTTGTGGTTCGAGAATATGGATGAACCTGCGTGGAGGGCGTGGTCTGAAGGCGAAGATGCGATCCATGTCGAAGACCAGGACAAACAAGAGCATGAGCGCGAGGACGGGGATGACGACAAGGACTCCAAGGGTCCAGGGGCTGGCTTTGTTTGACCCTCACTATGAGACGGACCCATGCGATGGAGTGGTACGATGGCACTTCCGAGAACAACCCTGGATCGAAAAGCAGCATAGGACGACTGGCAAAGGTCATGTCTACTATGGATTCGCTAGGACCTGCAGGAGAGCAAGAAGAGGAAGAAATAGGTGTCTATTTTACAATCGGCCACCAGCAAAGGTTCGAACGGCAGCAACACCGGCCACAGGTTCATTTCCTCTGCTGTCAGCGTCCTCCGCATACCTCAGCTTATCCATTCCAGCTACTACCCAGCGTGTCCTGATTCTTCCGCGAGGGGGGTAAGGGGGAGGAGTCGAGAGCTCATCCACCACCACTCTCCACTCTATTGAGGAAACACACGCCTTCCACATGGCCCGTCTGCGGGAAGAAGTCAAACCCGCCCAGCTTTTCAATACTGTACCTCCACTTGCCGCCGAATCCCGCCACCAGCATGCCCACGTCCCTCGCCTGGGTGTGGACGTTGCAACTCACATAGATGACCCGTTTCGGGCCGAAGTTGCAGAGCTGCTGGAGAAAGTCCGGCGAGGCGCCCTTGCGGGGCGGATCGATCACCACGAGCGTCTGGGAGGGCGGGAAGGGCACGTCGGTGAACAAGGCTTGGGCATCAGCGGCGATGAATCCCGTGTTGCCCTCGCCGGTCTTTTGGCCCGGTGGTGTGTGATGGTTGCTGTTACTTTTGTGGTTCATTTTCGCGTTGTCCCGCGCGCAGGAGATGGAGAGCGCGTCAATGTCGATGCCCAAGACCGACGAGAAGTACGGCGCGAGGGCGATGCTGAATAGGCCCGAGCCGCAGTATGCGTCGAGCAGATATTTAATTTTTGGGGGAGATTCTAGTAGCTCGCCCGTGGCCGAAGACAATGATCCCGAGGGTGACATCTTTGGAAGCAAGTTCTCGCGAATATAAGATAGGAAGGTGGGCAGGATGGAATTGTTGTTCTGGAAGAAGCTGTTCGCCCGCGTGGTGAACGTGTACGGCCCAATATGCTCGGTCGTCAAGGCCTTGGGGTCGGACGTGTAGGTCTTCACGTCTCGGAAGCGAGGGTAGGTGTATGTGATTTCTGGGGAGGTTGGAGAAGAGAAGGAAAGCTCAGTCGACACGGGCTCGCCGGCATAGGCGAGTGGTAGGGACGACATGTCTTGAATCGAGTGGGAGGAGGGGGTTTGTCCAATTTCTCTGTCTTCTTTGGCGCCTTTGTTCACTCCCTTGTCCCTGTCGGCGCCTGACAAGGTGTCTATCGTCGTCGAGTTCTCACCGCAATGTTCTTCCGCCGCAGGTGACGGGATAATTTCGCGTCTCGTCGACTCCCTCAACAGGACAGTCGCTCCGTTCCTGCTCTTCCAGAAGGACTCGTGCATCTTCTTCCGCTCGATCTTCAGACCCTCGTTCAATATCGGCGTGCCGATCGGGCACTGTTCGATGTCCAGGATGCGGGGCACGTTCTTCCTCATGAACCCGAACGGCGGTGGATCGTCGCCCTTTCTGAACGGTTTCGCCTTGGAACAGCCCGTGTAGTGGGGCGTTAGTTTTGTGCGGTAGCTATACTGCAGGGGCGATCCGATGGTGTTGTCGACGGGCGGGATCTGCGAAGGGTCCAGGTTCGAAAAGTGCTTGAAGGCATTCTCCACGATCGTCTTCTTGTGCAAGAGCTGCGCCTCGTAGGGCAGCATTTGGAGCTGGCAGCCCGAGCAGGTGCCGAAGTACGCACACCCCGGCGTCACGCCCTCGCGACTCGGCGACGGGCGCAGCAGTTTGACGAAGTCGACGCGTGTCCACAACGGGCTTTCCTCACGCTGGGGAAACGTCTTGGCGAGGACTCTGTCCCCCGGCACGGCGAAGGGAACGACGTAGATCCAGCCCCTGCTTTCTGGTGCGTAAGCCAGTCCGTCGCCAGTGGATGAGAGATCCTCGATCTCCAGTTCGAGTTCCGTGTGCGGCTCTGGTCGCGAAAACCGCGACGGCGAAATCCATTCTTGGGGCCGAGAATCGTCCTGGCCCTGACTACCACCATCCTGTGCGCTGGATACCTCTTCCCCGTCTGGAGAAGCTCCACCACCATCATCGGCCTCACTTCCATTATTCCGTTGCTGCTGCTGCTGCTGCTTCTTGATGAGCAGACTCTCTGCCTCGGCCGTTAGTACCTGCTCTGGCGTGCCATCCTTCAACTGAGACCGTTCATTCTGGAGTCTGAGCCGCTTCGCGCGGCCCAGGGGTCCTCTGTTGTTGATTTTCTCCATCCTCGCCGCGATCGACGCGGCATTGTACTTCTCCCCCGCAGATCTCGGTTTGTGGTTGGCTCTGAGATTGAATGGCTGGAAGGACTTCGCTGCTGATGGCGAGGAGGTGCTGCTGCTGCTCCTGCTTAGTCTATGAATCACTGTTCTGGTGTTGGCGCGATGGCGGGTGCCGAATGACAAAGCTGAAGCTGAATAGCCCGGTACGCACTGAAGGTGACGACCCAGAAACATAGATTTTCCCCGCACAACAAACGGGCTCCGTAACTAGCCTAGAGTCGAGTCGGCAATAGATACTGCAGTTCTACGATTACCAGGTCCAAAGGAATCAAAAGGAGTCGAATTCGAGGCGTCGAGAAAAATTTCGATTACATAATAATGCCAAGATAATAACCGGCCCAATTAGATAGTGCCGATTATACTACGCGCACGAGTATGTACATAGACAGAGATGACCGCAGCCTTGCCGTTTCCTGTGTCAATAGTCGGATCCTCTTCAGCCTCACCAACTTCCTTCCCAAATGTCCAAGTAGCCTGGGCATCCGCTCGTAAGACGTGATATTGAGCTGTCCATTAGCTTCGAATAGGTCCCTGTTTCCACGCCGGAGAGTTTCCGCTTCCTTGCCCTGAAGACACGGGATCGTGACCCGGGAATAAAATGTCCTACCACCATCCCTGCATCATTGAGGCCTCCTTGCATGTACAGTACAGCGAAAAGCAGCAAAGCGTTTGCATTTTTAGCGCAGGATCATATGATCTGGTCTGAAATGTACCTCCCCCCTGCCCATTACGAGCTGAGGCACGATGTCGACATCGTATAGCTGACTAAGAGTGTTGGGCCAAGAAGGATGCGTCGTTTGAGAATCCCTTTGGTGGGCGCCTCACCGTACGGTGCCACGATCAGTGACCCATCCAATGTAAAATGGCGGTGCTTTTGTGATGTGGATAACAGGGCCGGGGCAGTGGTGTGTCCCTTTCTAAGCAATTATTCGGTAGCGGTGCCTGCCAGAAGGCCGATGTCGTTTGTTTAGGCAGATATCCGACTTTCTTGTAAGGCGTTTCCCAGTAACAAGTTGAGCCTACATAAGACCATAATTCGTCAGTCCAACCGAAGAGAAACCGAAGAGACGGTGATCATGTTGCTCATTGTGTAGCAACATTTTATTTTTCTTTGCCTCAATTGCACTGGAGATGCATGTGTGGCTTCGCTCAGTCGTCGGTATCGAAACTCCTTGCTGGCGTTCTCGATGGACTCCGCGACAACTCTGCATGCAAATCAGCCACTGCTGGACGACTGCGTAATCGCGATTGTCTGTCCAGCCCTCCGCGTTTCGCCAGGCTGTTGTCCTTCGGTCTTGACTCCAAAAGAGGGCTTCTAGCTTCTGCATCGGGGTGGTTCGCCGAAAAGCGTTGCGCGGCTAGTTCAACAGGGCCTTCAACATTGTGATTTACAGGGGATCTGGATTTATGGCGCCGATTGAATTCATCTGCTGTCAGGCCAAGCCCCATTATTTCTCGAGGTTCTGTGTCTTGAGGGTTGGGAGCTCGAGGAGAATAATAAGCGGGTGCAGGCGAGAAAGGGCTTTGCATGGCGGAAGCACTTCCGGGATATCGAGGAAGCGGTGTCAAGACTGCACCGGAAGGATCCTTATAGAATGGCTTGCATTCTTGTGGTCCTGGTCCAGGCTGAATGGATTCTTGCAGAGATTGTTTCATTCTTCTTCGTCGTACAAGGCAAAAGATCGCAATTCCAATGATAATCGTCAAAGCCACAACGGCGGCAGCGACACCACCCGCTATAGCGGCTGTATCAACTGAGTTGGAGATTGGTTGAGGCGACGCTGTGCTCGATGTTGTCGTAGCAAATGCCGATGAGCCAGAAGCTGAACTCGAGGTTGCAACCGAGGCGGGAACTGTAAAGGTCGAACTTCCAGCTACGACCACCGTATGAACGCCGGCTGGCCGTAAATCAGAGGCAGGACATCCTTGGCCGTTGCACGGATTGCTCTCGCAGCAGCCCTGGAAGGTAACAGAGTTGTCGGCGCAAGTGTACCAGAGTCCGCGATATGGGCAGGAATGGTTGGGATAATCTGGCACGGGCGTTGTGACGGGGCCAAAGCCCATAGGATACAAGTTGTCTTGAGGGCACATTTGTCCAGAGCAAGGGTTGCTTGAACAGCATCCGATGAATGTTGGATAGTTGACATCTTCACATTTCCACCACTTGCCTCCAACTGGACACGACACGTAGTCGGAATCATTGAAACCGTCTTGTCTCCGGAGATGGGCCATCAGGAGATCGGATGTGTAAAGTGAACGATTGTCGGAGACCATGGTCTCTTGGATACTTTAGTGATAATTCGACGAGTCTGGCATTGAAGAGCATTCGCATCGATGGTGCAAGGCGAAGACGAAGGAGAAGAACCTCAGGAAGAACCAGTATCGGAGAGATACAACCAACGGCAGCTATTAAAAGGATAGACGTCAGATCTTTGGGGGACGGCCTGCTAGCTGAGACGTAAATAATTGGCTCCAACAAACACCGCCAAAGGGATAAGAACAGTTAGCAAGCATTATACACAAGTGGCCATGAAGCCTTCGACCGACGGAGGCACCGTAGATATGTTCGCCCAATGCACCGCCCCTCCTGGTAAGCGAGCGAGGGTTTAGGCGGGCAATATTCGGGCTAGCGAGGGACATTCCTCCAGCTGGGCAAGCTGTGAAGGCTCTCAAATAGGGCGTAGGTCGAATGCCAATGCTTGTGCGATGAAAGCAGGCCTTCAACCCAAGACGTTCGTCATTCGGCGAGACAAGCCGCCGGGAAATGCATGCGAACTAGCGACGAAAAGCTGGTGAGGCTGAGTCCAAGGGTTAACCAAAGGTGAGACGCCCAGGGATGCCAGAGACTCCGCGCCCAATGATGATTTCGCACTGAAGATATAGCTTGCCATCATTTCAGACCGCTCTGGACTTACCGAGAGACGGCCAGAGACCTGATCGAGCCATGATGTGCGTGACCGGACCTGTTCTAGGAAAGAGAAGCTAGAGAGCAATTTGTCAAGTGTGTTTTTTTTTTTGGTCTACTGTAATCGTATTCGATCTGCCTTGGCATGTTTGCCAGGGCCACCGCCGCCGCGAGGGCGGAATCAAAGCCTCTTGGCCTGAGGCCACCATGGCCCCGGGGCCTGCGCCCGTTCCCACGCCTCGTTCATGCCGTCTGTTCACTCCCCTGTGGTCTTGTAGTGCGTCCATATCTCTATCAATCGTACAATACAACGGATATCTGGTTCATGCGGTGAAACTGTAGATGTGTGGTATCCGTTTCCTGATGGTGCGGAAAGTTCCTCGTACGTAAACAAACAGCTTAGGAAATGCTGACATGCTGCAGGCGAATCCTTCACCGCTTGGAGATCTCCTTCCGACTCGACATGGGTTCATATCTGGTTGGAGCTGCAAAGAACCCGTAGCGCCTCTCGCCTTCCACAGCGACCTTAAATCATTCGCTCATGCTGCCCCTCGTAGGCAGAACCAGGCACTGCCTCGCTCAATTCTGCAGTACCATGTGGCCATCTATGGCAAGATGTCTAACCTGTATCGCACGGGGTTGCATATTTATCGTCCGCCTTTCATCTTTTGCCGCCGAGCCACCCTCTCTGCAATCCTCTGAAGCGCCGTCTTGACCTCGCCTTTGGGAAAACTGTCTATGTGGTAATAACCGGGCGCAATATCGAGCAGCCACTCGCCTCGGACACTCGTGACTGTCCGAATATAGTTCTTGCTGGTAAGCACAAATTCGTTGTAAACCACCCATTCGCTCTCTTGGCCGAGGACCGTACTCGGGTGCAAAAGTACAGTCTGATTGTCTTTGACCGTCGTGTAAGTCTTGCCGTTAGCTTCCTTCTTCGCCACCTGCATGAAAAACCCAGACACGAGCGCACGACGGATGTTCTCATAATACTTCTTGTCCTCGAACGGCGTTGACATCAATTCTAGTTCTTCCCGCTCCATGATTCGTTTCAGTTGCAAGCGCACATTATCCGCAGACTGGAGGGCTCGGAGACTCAGGAAATGGTCGTGACACCATTGTCTCGGATTAGCCTGTGCCTCGGGCCCTTTGAAAGCATGGTAGACGTTGAGCATGGTCAGATGGTCGCCATCGGGGTGAGCGAAGAGATTTTTCATCTCGTCTGCACGTTTTCGCGCCGATGCAGGCCTCACAAAGATCTGAGGCACGGACAGTAAAGCTGTCAAGCTCAAGATCTCGTTCGAGCAGTAGAACTCGGGCGAAGAGATGAGCATGACCGCCAATGCTGGATCTAGAGGGTACTCAGACGCAAGCCTGCCCATGGTTGTCAAGTTTCCATCATCGTCCAGACATGCGAGATAATTCAACTCTTCCAATGCTCGCATTAAGGTCTCTGGAGCAGGAGGATCCATCAGGTCGAAGTGCACGAGATCGTCAATCCCCAGTTTCTTCAGCTCTAGGACGGTGGACGACAGGTTGGATCGGAGGATCTCGGGGTAAGTTTGCTCAATCAGCTCCTTCTTGAAGGCACCCTCAGTATACAGCCGGAAACACTTTCCAGGCCGAGTACGACCGGCACGACCAGCTCTCTGTTGAGCAGAGGCCTTGGAAATGGGTGAGACAAGAAGCGACTCAACCCGTATGCGTGGATTGTACACCTTTTGTTTGGAAAAGCCAGGGTCAACCACATACACTATCCCGTCAATGGTCAGGGACGTCTCTGCAATGTTGGTGGCGACGATGCATTTGCGCCCCGCTCGACCACCAGGCCGTCGCGGCGGCGGGGCGGGTTCGAAGATCTTCTGCTGCTGTGCAGGAGGCAGGGTGCCATAGAGGGGGTACACTTTCATGGGTCCTGCATCTGCCTCGCGGATCATTTCGTCGGCTTCTAGTGAAATCTTTCGGCATGCATCTTCGATTTCTTCTTCACCAGTGAGGAATAGTAGGATGTCGCCTTCGGGTTCCGTGGCGTGTATCTGCAAAACAGTTCTGATTGCCGCTTCCACGTAATCCGGCTCGGGCTCTTGGGTGTAGAAGATCTCGACAGGATGCGTTCGACCAGGAACGGCGAGCAAAGGCGCGTCGTTGAAATATCGCTGGAATTTTTGAGCGTCCAAGGTCGCAGACATGATAATCAATTTGAGGTCTGGTCTACGCAAAACCACCTCTTTCAGTAGACCCATCAACACATCTGTGGCTAGTGTCCGCTCGTGGGCTTCATCGAGGATGATAGTGCTGTACCTGGTGAGCTCATGGTCGTTCATGGCTTCTCTCAGTAGCATGCCGTCCGTCATGTATTTGAGTATGGTCTTTTGGCTTGTCATGTCCTCAAATCGTATACTGTAGCCCACTTCCTCGCCAAGTTTGACATCTAGCTCGTTCGCGACACGCTCGGCCACTGACATGGCGGCCACTCGACGAGGTTGGGTGCAAGCGACAAGTTTTCGTTCTTGCTGTGGCAAGTCATCGTAGAGGACAAATTGAGGAATTTGCGTCGTCTTTCCCGAACCAGTCTCGCCCACGAAAACCAGGATCTGGGATTTCTGGTACAACTCAAGAAATTCGTCTCGTTGGGCATGGACAGGCAGATCTCTTCTGGTCCGCAAGATGGAGAAGTATCGATCGGAGTGTGGGCGGCCTGTGAAAGGGTTGACTTTGGCGTCTTCGGCTTTTTGAGCTAGTGCTGCGGTGGTCTTGTGCCGCTGGAAGTCTACGAGGGGCCCGTCACTACGAATAGGAGGGGTTGAGGAGCCATTTGCGTGGCCGTTCGTGCCGTTGTCGTACCAATGAGCAAGGTAGGGATTGTCTTTAGGATTCATCTCGCCAGCGGTCTTCTGGCGTTTCGCGGGCATCCCGTCAGGATTCTCTGCGCGCTTGCCTGCCATGGCGGCTGGACAGCGGAGGCAACAAGAAAGAGATGAGAAGACGCAACCAGTTAGAGGAGCGGCTAGTGATTGCGGCAAGAGAGGGGATAAGAATTAGAAAAGGCGAGACAGAGCCAGCGCGATGGTTATCAGGTGCCTGTTGCCCTTGACTTCTCGCAGTCTGAGGGTGGATTTCCAAACAACTCGCCGCCTGTTTCAAACTCGCAAAGTGGAAAATATTTTGGGAATTGCGTCTCGGATAAAGGCTGTCCGGCGACGCGCTGATACGGTGAAGCATACTATGTATCAAGTGCAATTTTACCTTCTCCTGCCCCGCAACTCACTTTCTCTCACTCATATCCTTTCCTCTAGAATAGTTGCCACCGCTTGACGCTCAGTTATGGAAGGAGCTCCCCCTAAGACAGTCACAGAAAGTGGCGTGGTCTGAGGAAGCGTATTCTCCCCGACCGCAGTTGAAAGGCTACCTGTTGTTCGAGGACCGCAGATCTCATGCGGCCTCTGGCAACAATTAGACGCTCCCTTGACACTGAAGAGAGGGGAACCATCGCCTTCTCTCATTTGCATATTTAGCGGTATCTAGAACAACAATCAATTTATCCTGCTGCTTCACATACGCCAGAAGGACGATAATAAAACGGAAGAATGCATGGACCGAGATGCTCGGAAGAGCTTCCCTCACGCAACTGCCCCTCGACCGGCCTTTATTGGCAGCCCCGCCTTGCCCACCCCCCCCCCCCGTCGTGTGCCCGATGTCAACAGATTCGGTGCAAGAAAGCGAGCAGAAGCATTTCTACTGCTCTGTTGTTCCGACTATTCATAGTTTTCTTTCTACCCCACGAGATATTCAACTTCCCTAGATATTCATTCTTGTGTTCATATACCCTCTTGGAGCTGTTCCTCCACATTTCACCCTTCCTCGACCCGACTCCGCGACAGAATATCCCCATCAACAATTCGGCTACTATTACCCACACTCTCGCTCTTCCGCCGCTTGTTCCTCATTCAAGATGGGTCGGAAACCATTCGTAGGAGGGAACTTTAAGATGTATGCAGAGACAATAGAGACCAAAATCAGATGTTTTGTGAGAAGCCAAAGGCCCATGACTGACGCAACCCCTCCGGCAGGAATGGGACGATCAAGTCCATTAAAGAGATCGTCCACAACTTATCCACGTCCAAGCTCGGTATGCCCGACCTTTCCATCCCTGCTTATTCAGTGCACGTCATCTGCGCAGCCGCGACAACAGCTGAATTGCCCAAGTATTCTAATTGACAATTGCTTCCTCCAGACCCGAACACTGAAGTCGTCGTCGCACCTCCAAGCTTGTACCTCCTCCTTGCCCGAGAACATCTCTCTCCCAACATAGAAGTTGCAGCTCAGAATGTCTTCGACAAGCCCAACGGAGCCTTCACTGGTGAAATCTCAGTGGCGCAATTAAAAGACAGCGGTATCACATGGACATTGCTGGGTCACTCGGAGCGCCGCACCATTCTCCGCGAAGAAGATGAGTTTGTGGCTTGCAAGACCAAAGCCGCACTCGATGGGGGAATCGGCGTCATTCTGTGCTGCGGTGAGAGTCTCGAGGAGAGGGAGAAGGGTGTCACGGTCGACGTTGTCACAAGACAGTTGGGGGCAGTGAACAAATCTATTGGCAAAGATGGTTGGAAGAATGTGGTAATCGCATACGAGCCGATCTGGGCTATTGGGACAGGCAAAGTCGCAACGACCGGTAAGTGGAAAAGGCTCGCCGATGACATTAAAACAAGCGGAATGACTGACTACCCACCTCGACACATTGCAGAGCAAGCACAGGAAGTTCATGCAGCCATCAGGAAATGGTTGAGCGAGGCCGTCTCGTCTGAGGCCGCTGAAAACACCAGAGTCATTTATGGTGGAAGCGTCAACGAGAAGAACTGCAGAGATTTGGCCAAGCAGCCCGATGTGGATGGATTCTTGGTCGGCGGTGCCAGCTTGAAACCTGCCTGTAAGTAAAGGCCTCGTTCAGAGTACAGCCTCTGCACGAACGTGAGAAAATGCTAACGCTTCTCAACCACAGTCGTGGAGATCATTAACGCCTTCACTTAGATTGCTGGGTGACGGGAAGAGAGCCGAGTCTGCTCCTTATCAGTCAAGTCTTTCTCACAAACAGGTCGAAATGCCTGGTCAATGGTTCGAAAGTCCTAAAATCAAATCCTACCCGGCACGCAAAGAGCTGCCTAGAAAACGACGGAAACACCCAAATCATTGTCTCCTTTGGCAGACGATATCTATCTTGGACAAGGAGTTAGACCATCTGTTCTCACAAGTAAAACGCCAGAAGTTACAATCAGAACCAGAGATCCAGTAGTAAAATGTTCAGCAGGAGCGTAGAGGACCCTCTCAAGGAAAATTATAAGGGGGGGTCTTGGGGGGGTGTACCGAGTACCTCGTAAACAAATCGTCCCCACAAACGAGGCTGAAAATTTGTACGCCTTGAGTTTGCATGCTCCGCCGAAACTTTGCCCTTCGAAATTTCGCATTTTCAGAGACAACAGCATGCGAGCTTCAAGTTTCTTGCACCAGTGTTTCCATCCATCACCATAGCCGTCTACATCAACTGTTACTTTACTTTCGGAACTCTTATTCTTCATATTCATCAGTGTACGCATTTCAATCGACGTCGATACTCCCGGAGACTAGAGCAAAATGGTCAAGCTTGAGGAACTCGAGGACGAGCACTTCGTCAACACGCCAGATACGACCAAAGACGGCGCTTTGCTGGCTGATGACGATGAAGACTACACCGATACTGGTAAGGATTCTCTACCTGTGTACTCAACTGCCGTACTGTATTGCTTCAGACACCATCATCACTCCTATTCTATCTCATCAGACTGCTGTGAGACGATTCTATTGAAGTCCATATGAAATTCTATTTACATATTAAAATCTAATGACCCATCTCCACCAGACTCTGAGATCTCTGAAGACGATGCTGTCGAGGCTCCCCTAGACGAAACACTTTTCGACCGTCTCTCTGCGCTCCGCGACATCGTTCCTCCAAAGACCCGTGCCAGGCTGTACTCCGCCACCCAGTCCGTCTACTCAGCAGCAAACGCCTCGATCACCTACGGTGGAAAGAGTTTGTGGGTGATCGCGACCAGCATCCTATTATTGGGCATCCCCTATGCGCTTGCGCTGGGCGAGGAACAGCAGTACATGGAAGAGGAGAGGCAGAGGGGGATGGTGGAACAGGGCGCCCAGGGGATGATCCAGGGCGCCCAGCAGGGGCAAGCCGATGCGAAGCCGGCGTTGTAAGATCAATTTACAAAGCGAAGTGGAATGGGGATGGGTCGTGATGGGGATGGCATCAAGGCCAGACAGATGGCATAGGGCAGAGCAACACGGTGCAACCCAGCTCTAGCCTCCTTTGCAAGTGTTGCAGTTAGGATGTCTGCACCATCAGCATGACAGCTCTGCCTGGCGAATGGATGATCTCTGCTCTGCTTCTTACTGAAGATGATGGACCCCCCTAGGCCGTCATTCTGTGCAAGCCGAACGAGAACAAGGTGGTTTGGTGAGGGAATGGGGGGGAACCAATATTCCCGCAAACAATCACGAAAAACGAACTGTACAATATTTACCTAACCTGGTTACCTACACAGAGCGCGAAGGGGCGAACAACACTCGACATCAGACCGGTCATCAGGACAGCCAGTCGGGCTTCGAAAGGCGGTTGATTGCTTGTTGTTGCTGTTCTCGTTGTACGTCTTGGAGCAAATACACCGGACTCTAATCCCGTCCAGGCTTTGTTTGCGACTAGGTCTGTACGTACATTCTTTCACAGAGAGAGATGTATGTACGTGTACCGTCGGGATAACTAACTAAATGGACTCGTCTCGCCTTTCGTTTTGCTTACCCCGTTCCCTCTCCTTCTCTCTGGTGCTCCCTCTCCCTCTCTCCCATTATATGTCCTATGTATGTAATGCGTAGGCATCGTCTCCGCAGTCGTTGCAGCGACTCCGTAAACGAATAGAAAAGAACAGAGATCTAGATGATAAATCGGGCCTAGGTATCCCGCCGCATAAACGACTCGATGCTATTAATATTGAAGGAGGAGGAGGAGGGAGAGAGAGAGAAAGCTAAGAGAAGAAAGCGAAATAGACGGAGAAAATGAAATGGCTCGTCTAGAAACCTGGGCGTCAGAATGTCTCCACTATGTTTCATGGATATACTGTATGTATGTATAGGACTCAGGCTCGGAAAGGGAATGAAAAGGAAAGGAGTATAGCTAGTAAATAGTTCGCTCGGCTCAAGCCAGGTGGGCTCTCACACGCCAGTTTCTACATCCTCTGTACGTATCCAGAGACGGACGAGATAAAAGAAGAAAGGTGTGACCTGCTTGAAGAAGCCGACAGATTGGTTTCCAACCTTGTTCTACATAACAACCCTAAGCCTTCAGCCTTCAGCCTTCAGCCTTCAGCACTCATCCCCCAGCCCTGCTCTTTTCGTCCCGTACCCCAAAGTCTAGATGGCAAGGTCTCTGTCGACAAAAGTCGCCAGATCAAAACATGCTCTGATCGCCAGAGTGTGCTCTAGAAACCCATGCCCTGCCCAAAAGTCCGTGAAAACCGCGGATGCCATCCATATACTCTCGCAGCTACCTTGCTGGCTCCTTATCCACCCTCCGAATCCGATTCCATGGCCTTCGCTACCCAGTGTTTATCCTTATCCCATTCCCTGACCATCCCATCAGTCGTCACACGGATCGCTCCGGCTCTTCCTCTTGATCTTCCACCTCTCTTCTCAAAGTCCTCCATCCCCAACCTTGCGTCGTTAAGATCATTTTCAAACTCTCGCCAAAATTCTGCAATCACACCCGTCTGCTCCATGCTATCCACAATATTCTCCGCTTCCTTCTCGCGCTTCTTCTTGTTCATCTTTTCACGTGCGACAATGGATTCTGCAGAGAGAACGCCCTGAGCTTCAAGATAGGTCATGAGAGATTCGTTGAGGTGATGTTTCCAGTGCGTGAGTTTGTGACCCATTTCGGCATTGGCGGCGCAAAAGCGACCGAGATAAAAGCGTGTCTGCTGCGAGGAGATGGCATGACCATTTTCGTCGTAAGTGATGCCACCGTTCTCGTCATCTGCGTCTTCGTCCGATTCTGAATTGTCGACGGGCTCCAGTGTTTTCTTGTAGTATGGTTCGCCGGAGAAGATAAATTCATAGCGAGCAGGGTTATTGGTTCGGTTACAAGCATCGCAGGTTCGCATGTGTTCGTCGTCTTCGCCTGGCAATAATGCTACGTGCATATTCGGTCTTGCCAGTATCGCCCGTTTGAAGTCGGTACCCCATGCTGCAGAGATGAGTCTACTCCCTGCTTGAGCTTTGACTTGGTCATCCACCCGATCGAAGGCAAGATTGTACACCGGATCCTCGCGATTGAAGGCTGGAGCGATTTTGTTTTTGACCATCCACTCGATGATGTGAGGGAAGAGGTCCCTTGGCTTGGCCGAAGCAAACGATGTGAATTGGAGAGGTATATCTGGATGTGGTCGACCGAGTCTTCCTCTCGAGTCATCAACCACGAAATCATCTTCATCTTCTCCCTGCTCCGCATCTCCATTATTATCGGCTGACTGGTCCGAATCACTCACAGAATGCGAAGATCGATTGCTCGAGATATCGTACGCGGGCTGACCGATAAAATCAATGTCAACGCCTTCTGAACCTTCGTCCGAATCTTCGTCGGAGTCATGAACTCGCGGGACTTTTTCGCCCGCACGTCTTCGCTTTAGGAGCTGCAAATGCTCTCTCGTCTTGTCTCGCTGCGTGGTGACGGGACCACCTCTAGTCCGCGCCCTCGGCTCGCTTAGTTCCTGGTCCGAATCTTGCAAGTCCTGCAGGTCTTCATCGAGTTCATCCTGTTCTTCCTTGGTCCGTGCACGGGATGCCTTGGAGGATTTGTGTTTCGACAATTTTCGGGACTTTGTGGGTGGTTGTACTCTCACTTCATCGCTCTCATTATCGGGAGAGAGGTATTCCACTTCATCGTCATCTACCACGAAGTCATCACCTCTGCTTTTTTTCCTCTTCGGTGTCGGTCTCCGATGAATCTCCTGGTCTGACAGGTATTGTAGCTCTTCGTTATTGACAGTGAAAGGATCATCCTTGTCTAGTTTAGATTTCCTCCGAGACGTAGGCTTCGTCACCATTACAGGATCATCATCACCACTCGTCTCTGGCGATCCAAGATCGGAAAAGGTGGCGCATCGATTGACTGGGGAGGAGATCCCCACCGACTGTACAGTGTGGGGACTCCCTGACCGCATTGAACGTGTTGGCCGTGGTGACTGCCTACGGCGTAATCTCCCTGAACTCCGCGGGGTGGGTGAGCTGGGAAATCCCGCGCCCTCATCTTCACCTGAAGTTGACACCTGCCTCGCAGGCGACGAGAAGTCGGGATTCAAGCGCTTTGATTTCCTGGGTGGAGGTAGATTGGATGGTTGCACGAACTCCGGAGGAGGAGACGGCTTGCGTTTCTTCTGGGCCGGGGAGATCAACTCATCCTCACTAGATTCGTCGGCGAGGTCGATTTGTCGGACTCGATTGATTGTGGGCGACGAGGGAAAAGAGGTGCGCGGCGGCATTTCAGCTCGTTCTGGAAACAGTTAGTTTGATCAAAGGCCTGCGAACTGGGATCATACGTTGATTCGAGCGTTGTAACTCGGGCGGAAGTTCTAGGGTCGGCAGACACGAAGGTTCGGGAGAAGACTCATCTGGCCTTGGACGAACCTCCGCAAGCCGGTTTGGTACATGTGGGCTGGAACTTGCTTGAGCAGGAGGTGAAGAAGGATGAGAGGAGAATTGTAGGCGAGTCTGTCGCTTTTGATCGCGGAACGGACGTTTTGGAGCGCTCGCTCTAGAGGATCTAGCTGCCATGGCTCGCAGCCGCAAGGATGATCTTCTCGGGTAGTCTGATTAAAAATTTTATGAAAGACCTTGGCAGGAAGGAGTATATTTAAACAATGCCGGCCATGAGAGATTGGATGCAAACTGCGCGTGTTTGTACATACTGTTGCATCTGCACTTGTAAAGCGATCAGGTTGCCTGTAGCGGGGAAGGCCGCGTTGGAGAAGGAAGCGCGCTAGCACGTGACACTTATGACTTTACCCAGTATAGCAAGTACTATGGTAGTCAGGAGAAAGGAGCCCAATTAGGCTCCCTGCTCTCGGCTCAGGGAAGGTCAGGGAGTTCCTCAGCCATGCTCACCATAGGCTTGAAGCTCGGTTACAGTTCCTCAAGGTACAGTATCAACTATGCCTAAACTAATTAGTCATCTCCCTAAAGAAGTGCCCGAAAATTCGGTACGGGCGACCCTATTTTCATCTAGGAATGTCACCTGTACAAGTACAGACAGTTCCCCATCAGAATCTTGACCCCTTCCAAATTCCATTCCCGTTTACAGGCCTGAGCACCCGCTGGTTTACCCTGAGCGCCTTTGAGTTGTGGCTGTGCAAACCTGCGCACCGCCGAAGCTATCCAAGCTCGTGTGTATGAGACCATGCAACCCGTACAGGTGATTCTTTAGACGAATTCTGGCCTCTCTAAAGTCCTTTCTGTATCCAGAGGTGAGTAAGTGCCCTGCCTGCTCGAATTCTGACCCATGTTATTTCTGTCTTGCACCGAACGCTAGCGAGCGAAAGTCTGCAGCCTGGGATAGGTTGATCGGCATCGAGCTATCAGACACATAGAGAAATGAGTTTTTGTCCTGCGAAAGAGTTCTTCAGGTCCCAAATTACTGGTCCGCGATTCACCGCATTTTGCAAGGATACTGCACGGGTCGCAGTGTTTTAAGGCGCAGACTTTGACAGAGATTTGAGGCAACCAATCCCATGAGACAGGCCACTCCGCAGCTATCGTCTATCCAGCATGAAGCTCTTGTGGGCTGCTTTGCTAGGCCGTTGTCTGATGCCATGGCTCGATACATCTGCTTCAATCACAAAACAGACTGTGACTTGACGTCCACGACGACCCCAGCACTCGACTTAGAAATAGAATGTCACTCCCTCATTCTACTCAGAGAAGCAGCAAGAACGAAATAACCCTCCCGTTTCAAACTGAGTTTAGGAAACCCTCGTATTACAGGCTTAATGACTGCGTACGAAAGATCATCAGATCTTTCCCTTGGCAAGGGCGCCTTGGGCGCCTTCGGCGTCGTGGCGAAGGTGGTCAGAAAGTCAGATGGAGAAGTAAGAGATTGCCCAGATTATGCGCAATATTGCCAGGCTTAAAATCTCAGATATTCGCTTGCAAGATGATTGACTTGAAGAACAAAGACGAGAGCGCAAAGTAACTAGTCGAGCGAGAATACAACATTCTGTGTCGGCTTGAACATGTCAATATTGTGAAAGTGGTCGACCTGAAGTAGGCCCACATGATGGCGAATTTGTGAATGGAATATTGCAACTAAGGAAACCTGGAAGACCTCATTTCATCTTACAGGCGGTACCTGTGCCTCTATCTACTGGGAATCATGCTAACTAGACTAATAGTTGAAAACACCAAGCCAGTGAGCCTGAGCTATGGGACGTCTTTCTTCAACTCACTGCTGCGCTCTTTTACTGTCAGGAGGGTTTCGTACATGGCATCATCTCAAAGTCGACTTCTACCTTTTGTCTCGTGAAGTGGGCTTGGACTATTCTGGCCTCGCGCGACACGGAGTTGTGTGACGGACCATCTCGATTTTCTCGAGCGCAACCTAGGGCCGCATCGGCACAACCCTATCTACTCGGCACTACCGAAAAAAACTCAATCTGCACATACGCACATAACTATTGAGCAAGCCCAGCACTTGAAACACCATGATTCGACAACAGCCTTGAAAGTAAAGGTGACCATCGGACTCCCCTCCCCCCTGGTGCGAGTGGATCAACAGAGGAAGTGGCCAAAGTGGAAGGGTTGTGAACATAAGAAGCATGTATCCTCCTTACAGTCACTCAAAAACAGGATAAGAAATATACACAATACAGAGACTACTACTACTGATTTCCAATACCCCCTTCCTCCCGCCCCCTCAACAGCCATGTCGAACCGGAATTTCTCATCTCTCCAACAGGCAGTTTTTGGCACTCCAAACTGAACAAAGCAAGGCACACATGTGATAATCCTTTTGAAATGGAACGGAGCCTGACCAAAGATTTCTGGAATTTCGAGCCGGCCTCGAGCCAGGCCATAAACACTGTGGGCTGGAACAAAGCTTTCCGGAAATCCGGCGACAAGATGCAAAGGTCTCAGCATCTTCGTTTGGGATCTGCGGCTCAGATCCCATTTCCACCATTGAGGATTAGATGGTCTGTGTTGAGGTTGGAATGGTCCACAACAAATTTGCTATTGTAGATTCTGAGACTTGATCTCTGTTGAACTTTTGCTGTCAGGACCATGCCAAGCTTTCCATGAGATTTCCCCTTGGCTGCGCCTTGGGGCATACCTGTTACGAACCGACCTTTGGGGCCGGCCGGGTCGCAGTCAACTAAACAGCGAAAGGCCGAACGCGAACCAATCAGCAGCGGGTCGAAACAGAGAAATAATACGGGAGGGTGTGCCAAATGACACTTAATCAATAGTTACTTCCGTGGCGATGCAATGCGAAATACGTGCTATTTTCATGAAGCAAGGGAATTGCCGGTAGTGGCTATATATCCTACCCTTTGGTGTGACTGCGCCAGGAACTTTTGTCAAGGGCCTTTGGAAAGGCCTAACCGCCAATTGGAAGATACATCGCGCACGCCTTGCGTACAGGCGGTCGGAAGGCTTGAGGCGCAGCGACGAATGAACATAGGATTGCACGCTCAGACGGGCAAGAGCAGGGTGACCTTTGGCTTGGAATCAGGACCAATAGCTTTCAGCAAGCTTGTGCAACCTAGCCGCAGCCGGCTTAAGCATGATATATAGATAAACAATGATGAAGCCACCGCTGCTCAATTGTAAAGTGACCTTTAGAAGGGTAACGGGGTAGTCTGCTTCGCCGTTTCTGCGGATCGTGCAGCCAACTATATGCAATCCAGCGTCCAACGCTTAAGTTCTCACTGTAAGTTCCTCAGTGCCTCTGGTCTCTCGCGCCCGTTCTTCGTCCATTGTTCTCTGCCAAGATCCCGCCATGGCAGTGCTCATGCCGGCTCAATGCATATCGAGAGCCCCCACAGCAGCTGACGCTTTCATCCAGGCATGAACTTTGTCGCGACAAAAGATGGATGACTTCAACCACCACCCAATCGACCTCGAAGGCCGTTCTTTCCGCCTCGTACGCCTTTTCCAAGGAGACACTCACCCTATCAAGTGTGAGCTCTTTGAGTCATGGCTTGACCGACCAGATTCCGATATAGACTTTACTGCTTTGTCGTACACATGGGGGGGGGGGCGAGGAAAAACCGTGCTGGATTGTGGTCAATGGGAGAAGTCTGGCAATGACCAGAAACCTCTACTCCGCCTTGGAACAGTTACGCCACAAAGAAAATGACCGTATTGTCTGGATCGATGCAATTTGCATCTATTCCTATCGAACTACAATGAAACACCTCGGAAACTTGAGGTTTATGACTCAGTTTTCCGGAGGGGTTGATTTTGCATATTTAGTGGGTCCCATTCGCACACATGAGCTTGTTTGGACCCCTTGGAGCTGGTTCGGGATCCTCTTTAATCAGGAGCCCGTTGTGATCCTGTGCCACTCCCTCTCACATGTTCGCATGGGAAGGGGATCGCTGCCTCGATTCTAATTCGCAGAAGCCAATTCGACCAAGCCTACTGCCTAGAAAGTCCTTTCATCTATGTAGCGACGCGTCCTCCCAGCATGAATGGGGGTTTTACATATCATTGGGTCGCCCCCGAGTCTCGATCACGCGCAAGTGCCTTACGTCATCGACCAACCCCCTCTGCCTGGGCGTGTAACCTTCTCAAGGCCCCAAACATACAGTAGCCAATCGTAGCAAATCGCAGCAACCTACTGTACTGCCTCAATTTAGCCGCCTAAGCCAACCTCACCCTGAACTTGGTACAGTAAGGCTGACAGATAACAGGCTATAGCCTAAATCTCTTACCACTAGTTCTTCCTTCTCCATCACTATCTATTAGTTCATCCACGACAATATTCATCATTCAATCTCTAGCCATCGTTAACCTATGACTCTACGTTAATCAGCATAAACAAGAAGCTCGTATAAATGACACGCCAACTTCAACGCGAGGAATATACTGTGGGATGGGTTTGCGCTTTGGATGTTGAGTTAGCGGCTACCCAGGAGATACTCGACGAGGAGCACAAAGACCTTGAGCAGAATGAGCACGATGACAACCAGTACTCACTCGGGCGCATCGGAGAGTATAATATTGTCATTATTTACCTACCTATAGGCTTAATCGGTAGTAACCCTGCTGCAACGGTCGCGACGCAAATAAGATCGACGTTTACGTCAATACGATTTATCCTCATGGTCGGTATTGGAGGAGGTGTTCCAAGCGCTGAGGTGGATATTCGACTAGGGGACGTGGTAGTAAGTCAGCCACACAAAAGAAATGGTGAAGTAATACAATATGATTTCGGCAAGACGACCCCCAGCGGATTTCAACACATAGGATTTCTCAATTCCCCACCCGCGATACTACTAAAAGCAGTTACAAACCTACGCGCGAACCACATTCGAGCAGAAGGCAAGTTCTTAGAATACAATTCTATACTTCACCGCCTTCCGAAATTTACACGCGAGGCCGCAGGGCCTGATGTATTATTCCATGCGACCTACGACCATAAAGGGGGTTCAACATACCAACATTACAAACTAGAGAAGCAGGTAAATCGGCAACCAAGGGGAAAGGATATATCCGTGATTCACTATGGGATAATTACCTCCGGCAATCGGGTCCTGAAAGACGCCGCCGAGAGAGACGGAGTGAGCGGAGAGCTCGGAGGTGTGCTATGTTTTAAGATGGAGGCAGCGGGCCTAATGAATAGCTTTCCGTGTCTTGTCATGCGGGGAATTTGCGACTACGCCGACTCTCATAAGAATAAGATCTCATAAGAATAAGAGATGGTAAGTATACGCTGTAGGGACAGCGGCAGTATATGCGAAGGAGTTACTAACAGTTGTACCGCGTACAGAGGAGATTATTCGAGAAAAGAGCAGTGAGTGCATTTAAAAGTACACACGATCGATCGGCTTCTGCTAATATTTTCTAGACTTCGTAGCAGTTTCGCCTTTTATCGATTCCATGTGGACCACAAAGTCTGTTCACAATGACATCCCACTACGTGGCCCACCAAATGTCGGTGGTTTAGGATGGAATCCCATCCTCACCTGGATTTCTCCAACGAACTTCGCAATTACACAACAAGACACGCTTGCACTTCGTTATAAAGACACATTAACGTGGATTTTCGATGATCCTAGTTTTCTGAATTGGCTTAACGGATCAATTAGATTTCTGTGGTGTTTCGGAATTCGTGAGTGCTCTAGATTTTCGACGGCTGAAATTCCAGGGGTGTTTCATAAATACTAACACTATAAAGCTGGCGCAGAGAAAACTATATTGGCGTAGAACTAAACCTATCTTATTTAAGTATTTCAAGCACTAACTCTATGGTTAAGTAGCTCTATTATCATTGACCACCTTACGCGGAGATATGAAATGGAGGATAAAATCTATGTTTACTATCTGTATTGCGACTATAATAATTAGGAAACGACGACAGGGACAAATCTTATCGCGAATCTCCTACAACAATTACTGCGTTCGAAGCTTCAAGTGCTAGAAGACATCATTAGTTTATATAGACGTCACTCGAAAGCAGGGACAAGACCATCTCGCAAAGAACTAACGGAATTGCTTCACAATCAATTTCGTTCTTTCTCAGAAATCCTTCTCGTTGTCGATGCCCTAGATGAAATCCCAGAGAAAGGAGGAGAGAGGGAGAGCTTCATGAGTGACATTCGTCGCTTTCATCGTATTCACTAGAATATTCGAATTCTGATTACCTCTCGAATACTTATGCAACTTGAAATAGATTTCGTAAGCGAGTCTTTCACAGAGGTCAGAGCAATATAGACTAACATTAAGACATACGTAGTGGACGGTATATTAAAAGCTAAGAGGCTTCATCGGCAATTTTTCCCGCGGCCCAGAGCATTCCCGAATGCCGTGGTGGCCCAGCGAGCCCAGCGCCGCTCATGGGACGCTAAGCTAACATCTGTGAGAGCCCACGCCTACTATTAGTTATCAACGCCGCCCTACTATAACTATAAGTGCGCATCACATTGCTTAATATATTCTTAATCGATACTCGTAATTATAAAAGAACGGATAGTGCTGAATAATTCACAGTGTTAGCTGTGTGCCATTCTTTACAGATTTAATAGAATATTCTATGTTTTTAATGTCGTCTATCTATTTCTGAGTGTTTCGTCGGTTCTTTTCTACTTCTTAACGCTATCGCCGTACTAGGCGCTCCCTACTCTAGCCGCTGCCTCTCTAAGAGTAGTGTTAGTTATAATATTACTTTATTAGCGTTAATTAAAAACGCGTTCTCGATTTCCGATCTACTAGATAGGTCTCTATACGTTATTATATATATACGCCGAACTCTAAAGTACTTTATTACACTATATCTTAGTATATTTATTCGAAGCTTATAATTAAATCTATACTTAGTTATATTTAGTTATATTAAATATATTATATTTTAGTATATATATAGAGTACTATTATATTTATTTATATTTAGTATATTTATATTTAATTATATATATTATTTACTACTTAATTATCTATATTTAATATTAATTATTTATAGTAGCCTTAGTATTTCTTAGATTATAGTAGTTTTATTCTCTTAATTTAACTACGCTTATTATTCTTATTATTCGATAATATAATAGATTTATTATTACTAATATTTATCTTATTATTCGCTTTACTTAATTTATTATTATCGTCTTTCTTCGAATCGTCGTTCGAGATATCGATAGTCACTATATCTACGATTTTATTTAATATCTATAAATTAATTTAATTAGCGAATTTCTCTTAATTAAATCTTCTTTAGTATAAGGTCACTTTAAACGAGAAGTTATCGTAGTATAATTTAAAGATATTAAGATTATTTTAGTTAAAGTTATCTCTACGTAATATTTAATCAATTATTTACTCGTATAGTTCGGGGTCGCCTTACTATTTTATTAAGATAACGAATTAAGCTCTTATTAATATTAGATCCGTACCTAATACTTCTAATACACTAATAAGAATATTAACTTCATCTCTATTCTAGAAGTTAACTAATATCTAGTGACGTAGAGCTTTATCTATAGAACCGTATACGAAGGCCGTAATAATCTTAAATAATAAAGCCTAAGTTATTACGTTCTTAATATACTATACTTAGTTAGTCTCTAACTATAGTTATTTCTTTAACCCGAATATATCTTAAATATAACGAGAGTAGTTTCGTTATTCTTCGCGAAAATAATATTCTTCGAGAGTCTTCTAAGAAAGTCTATCTTCTAGAGCTACTCAATAAAAATAGACTATAAAATTAAGAATTTCGGAGCGCTATTTATTAGAAGTATTATATATCGATAATATATACTTTTAGCCGCGTCGTCGATATTTTTAGTGAAGACTTTTTATTTCTTTATATATTTCACTTCGAAGTTAAATTTTTTAGAGTTATCTACGATCTTTAGATACTTATTATTAACGTAGACTCTTATAAGTCTCGGTAAAGTCGTATATTTCTATAAAATTAAGAATAAACTACTAAATATCGGCTCACTACTCGTTATTTCACTTTTATTCTTAGCTACTTATAGTTTATTATTAAAACTTTTATAAAGTATTATTCTAACGTAGTTTATATTTATTTTACTTATTTAAACCGTATAAAGACGATAATATATACGTAAAAGTGAAAGAAGAATCTTTTCATTAAGCTACTTAGTATCTCTCGTACGTTAGATTATAATTACTAATAATAACACTATTTATTCTATCGTATATTATTTCTTCTCTTTTAGTCACCGAGTAATTAGTTCGTATAATTCGAACGACGTATACGATCTTTAGAAGTCATTCTTTATACGTAACTCTATTTACTACTAATTTTTAGATTAATTTAGCGACCTTAGAGTAATATCGTTTAAAAGTTTCTTACGTTTCTTAAGGTACGCGCAGAGTATTTAAAGAGAAGATATCTTTACTAGATCTCTTACGTCGAGTTAAATTAATATATCTAATATTATTATAATTATAGACGTTATAAGACGATCTTATTTAGAGCGCCTAAAGATAAGTTCCCGCGTATTCGTTATTATTAAGTTCGAGATACTTAGTTTCTAATGAAATTTATCTCGAGTATATCGACTATATAGAAGTTTATAAATTTCGGTATTAACTATATTTATCTTATATAATGACGCGGCGATAATAAAGATATATTAATAAAGCTTAATAAGAGACTTTTCGACTCGTATAAAGAGAGTACGGGCATCGTTCTTTTCTATATAAAGTTCCCGAATATTAGTTTTTACTACTTTATTATTTATCTATAGCTAAGTATATTAAGTCTTCTTATTTAATTCTTTAGTTATTTATACGTAGACGTAGAACTTAAATTTATTTATCTTTATATTTACTTACTTATATTATTCTTTAATTATATTAATAAGTGTTCAAAGGACTTAGAGAACTATCTAATGTATAGATAGTAAGGCTCATATAGATCGTAAACCTTATAGGTAGGTAAGTGACTATTAAAGAACTTGAAGATAACTATTTACCTAGGGAGAGTAAAGGTCTTTATATAGACAATAAGTGTCCATAGTTAAGACCCTTAAAATGTTGATTT